TGTAAAACTTTTTACAAAATTTTTTTTACAAAAAATTTTTACAAAAAATTGTAACACCACTGCTGATATGAATACCCCTTTATTTACTTCTCTTGAGATGAAATTCTACTGCAAGTATTTTCCAAAGTTCCATTAGAAGAAACAAGAGCAGCAGCTGGCAGATCAATTACAAAGAGAGACACAAAAGAAAGCAAGTATACGTGCTTAAAACTCTGAGTGTGTGTTTTTCTGTTGGCTTATATTCTGTGTTGTAGGCACTGTGCTATCATCTTACCATTCTTTAGAATAGCTACTTGTGAGGCAAAGACAAATTGAGATGTGAAGGAAAGAACTGTCTGAAATTCCCTCTATAAACCTCCAAGATGAAAGTGTGACTGTCCCCCTATTTGGGGGAAATCCCTCAAGTTCATGGGCCAGACAAGTTCTTACTTTCTGGAGGCTGTTCAGAGGACAGAGACTGGAATTGCAAATGGTGTTTACTGTTTCTCACACCCAGAGCCCTGAGTGGCGTAATAACTTTCTGCTGAACACGCTTTGTACTTCTGCGTGTGTGACATGGCTTGAGGGTAATCCCAGCCCTGGGTGAGAGCTGGTGCAGTTGTTAGAGCCTCGTTCCATGGATAAGATCAAGGACAAAAATCACTTGCCCTAGGGACATCCTTTAAAGCAGCTTCATAACATTATTGTTTTGAAGGAGCACTTTGAGGGTTAGGCAGATCACAGGTCACACGGATGGAGCTGTGTGTCAGGAGCTGCCAGCAGAGTGGTGAGCGTTTGAAATCTTTGCGTAAAGATGTGAACTTCCATTTCTGAGGTTCCATTCCCATGGCCTCTGCAATCAGCACCTGGCTGGTGCTTCTCTCCACAATGACATACACACTTCCAAACACACCTTTCCAAGTACAATTTGCTTTCTATATTAGCATTTCAGCCCTGGATTGAGAGCTGCTTGGGATTAGTAGATGCAGACTAGTATATATAGGATTAATAAAAGCAAGGTCCTATGGTACAGCACAGGGAACTATATTCAATATCCGGTAACAAACCATAATGGAGAATAATATGAAAAATAATTTTAAAAACACTGAAAATATGGGCCTAAGGTGCTTTTAAGGATGTACTGATAAATTTTTTTTTTTTTTTTTTCATGTGTTTCATCATCACAGGAGCAACTGTTGATGGGAATTCTCATGAACCAGAACTTTTCTTTGATAGCACAGACAGAATGTCCAATAACGGTAAATGCAGATGGATAAAAGTGGAGTTAGGGGTCAATAAGTAATACGTCTTCCTTTTGCCCAAGTTCAGAACAAAGTGTGACACTAAGCTAAAGCCCCAGCAGATGGCGCTCAGACCATCTTCTCCAGGAATACTTGGCTGGCTAATGGGGTGCTTCACCTGAAGCTAGGAGGGGTGCTGTGATCACTGGTAAGGTTTAGGATGCCCTTGCCTTCTTCAATTCCCTCCACGAGAGATGTGGCTTTTGTAAAATTCATAGCATAGAGGAGCAGATCAAAATGTCTGCTGTCTGCAGAGAGAGAGAGATGTAGAGAGCTAGAGAGAGAGGGAAGGAGAAAGGAGCCAGTCACAAGCACCTGAATCCTCCCAAACTTACTAGTGAAGTCCTTATCCTACCCCAGGGGGCAGGGCTAGTGAGGGGCTGAGCACTTCCTGGAAGGGGTACCCAGAGTCCTCTCTCCATCCCTTCAGAGGATGAGCAGACTCATCTCAGATCCAATTAGGATGAAAGCAAACGGGATGAAGACAGGATAAGGAACTAGAATCTCATGCAGCATTTCTTCCCTTGACAGATTTAAAGATTTAAAAGGAAATATAAGGACTTCCCCTGGCAGTCCAGTGGTTAGGCTCAGCATTTCCATTGAAGGGGGCACAGGTTTGATTCCTGGCCAGGGAACTAAGATCCCAAAAGCTGCGTGGTGCAGCCAAGAAAAACAAAAACAAAAAAGGCCAAATATGTCACTGTCTGAGCTGGCAACTCTAGGCTTTTCTGGGTGCAGAAATAGAAACTAGGTCAGTGGTTCCCAATCCCAACTATGCATCAGCCACACAGAAGAGGCTGTGGAATGGAAAGAGCTTATTAAATATCCTTCTTCTGGGACTTTCCTGGTGGTCCAGTGGTTAAGACTCCACACTTTGATGCGGGGGACAAAGGTTTGATCTCTGGTCAGGGAACTGAGATTCTCACATGCCGACCCCCACCCCCGACCCCCAGCCAAAAAAAAAAAAAATCCTTATTTCCAGAAAGTAGAAAGTGTTAGTGGCTCAGTTATGTCTGACTCTTTGTGATCCCCTGACCTGTAGCCCGCCAAGCTCCTCTGTCCATGGGATTTTCCCAGGCAAGAATATTGGAGTGGGTTGTCATTTCCTTCTCCAGGGGATCTTATTTCCAGAAGTGACCAGGAATCTCTAGAAGTGGAGTCCTGGTTCTGCACATCTTTTCATATTCTCTGAGTGACTTGGCTTCAGTAGGTCAGACGCCAGCCCCTGGCATTTGGAACCATTGGCTTAGATGGTTTTCGAAGATAAATTTACCACAGAATTCTCTTTAAAATAAATAGTTCTAATATCCCTGAATTTTCCCTACACATTTCCTTCTGTAAATTGCATGATAGTCATAAATTAGATATGGTCGGGCATCTCTTTGGTATCTGGGTCTCCACTGAAAGAAGCGAGAGGATGTCTTTGTGCTGAGGACCACACATGGGCGAGAGTGGCTTTATCAACACAGTCCACGTCATCCCATTTTTCTGTGACATGACTACCCAGTGTCCCTTTTAAGGACATCCGGAAGAACTTTTAGTCAAAAGAGTTTCACGGACACCACACTGAGCAGTAATTTGCCATTGCTCGTGACTAATCCTTACATTTTCTCACTAGACCAGCTACCCAGTATTCCCAGAGCAAGACCTCCTCCTGTCTTCTGCTGAGTGGGCTCCACCCATGCTGATGTGCTGGAAACATTACCAGGGGAGAACAGTGAGGGCAGCGTTTTCCTCTCAAGTAATTGCCATACGAAAGAACTGGCAAATACAGCCACTGACAGTGAGCGCTTGCTGCCTCCCTGCTATGACACAGGAGGGGGCCAGGAGCCCCTGGTGCCCCATTAAGCTTGGTCCCCTGGGAGAAATGTGCTGCAGACCTTTGCAGCATATCCCTACTGGTCTTGTTGGTAGATTGCAACTTTTGCATATTACCAAAAATGACATCACCTCTAAAACTGTCGATCGATCATCAGCTTTATTGCTTTTTCTCCTTGAGAGGAGCTTGACAGGATGTTTGACCACTTTCTAAGTACAAAATGGACTTAGTTTCCTCTCTCTTCTCAGATCCCCAAGGTGTGCAGTGATCAATCTAAACTTGGTGTGAAGCCAATTCTGTATTTTCTTAGTAAACAAAGGATCATATTACAAATTGATCATCACACTTATCTTGGTAATCCATAATGTTGGGTTTCTAGGAGTCTCAAAATTAGAAGAAATATGTAGATTAGAAAACCTCTCGTGGGACCAAAATTAGAAGAAATATATAGACTAGAAAACCTCCCTTGGGACTCTAATGTTAGGTTGAATCATTTGAGCTCACTTTTTTGTAGGTCAGAAACTGTCAAGGGTCTCCAGTTTCGTGCGGTTCAGTCTACTCTCTTGGGGACCCTTCAGGGGTCTCTGCTTGGTGCAGGTTGTATACCCAGACCCTGGCTCCCTGCAGAGTGTAGACGCCTCTGTGAGGGTGTCACTTCTCTCCATCCACAATTCTTACACCAAACCAGAGGTAGCTGATCAAAATCCTCATTTATGTGGACACAAGTGGATGTTCCTTTTTTGTTCAGCTGTTTTCCTTGGAATTTCATTCTTACTGTGATTTTAGGTAGAGCAGTGATAAAAGAATCTGCCTGCTGATGCAGGAGACGCAAGAGATGCCGTTTCAACCCCTGGGTCAGGAAGATCCCCTGGAGAAGGGGGTGGCGACCCACTCCAGTGTTCTTGCCTGAAGAGTCCCATGGACAGAGGAGCCTGATGGGCTACAGTTCATGGGGTCACAAAAGGTCACAAAAACTGCAGTTTTAAAATAAGTCCATAAATTTTTTGATACCTCTCCCTTCAAAAGATGGAGCTTCGTCTCCATTCCCTTGCTTGTGGGCTAAACTTAGTGACTTGCCTCTGATGACTGAATGTGGCAGAAGTGACGTGCCACTCCTGAGATTAGGTCAGAGAAGACACTGGGGTTTCCGCCCGGCTGTGTCTGGAATTGTCTGCTCGCCCGAGGGCAAGTTGGTTGTCATGTGGTAAGGACCCTCCAGCAGCTCTAAGAAGTCCCCTGTGACAGGGACCTGAGTCGTCCTGCCTGCAGCCGGTGCAGAGGTGAGGCCTTCTGCCCACAGCTGTGTGAGCCGTCTTGGAAGCAGACCCTGCAGTACTTTTCGGCCTTCAGACAGCTACAGCCTTGGCCAGGAAGACAGGTGTAACTGCTGTTCTGGCTCAGTGTCTTTCATGAGGTTGCTTGCAGTCGAGATCTCAGTTAAGACCTATCTGTTGCTCTCCTTCTCAGTGGTCAGCATTGTGCCAGGAATTGGAGAACGAGAGGGGGCATTCTTGTCTTCCAAGAGCTCACAGCTAGTAAGAGAATCAGTGTCACTAATAATTGCTGGACAGAAATCTGCTACATTTGAAGGTATTTAAAAAATGTTTTAGGGTCTTCCGTGGTGGTCCAGTGGTGAAGAGTCCACCTTCCAATGTAGGGGACTCAGGTTCGATCCCTGGTTGGGGCAGCAATCCCTCATGCCCATGGGGCAACTAAGCCTGCTTGCCACAACTAGAGAGAGGCCCGTGTGCCACAGCAGAGACCTAGCACCACACACTCCCTGCCACAAAAAGAAGTGTTTTCGGTTGTGCTTGCATGGAACTTTGGAAGATCAAACAAGAAGGCGGGGGTGAAGAAAGAAGGGGTCCGAGGAGCCCCTGNTCACAACCCACCACACGTGGAAAACATCTCCCAAACTGTCCCAAGATTGTCAGGTAAATGAGAGTTTATGACCTTACTGGTGATAAGTGTAGATTGTGGCTCCTGATTCTGCTTTTTGTTTTTGTGTTACAGAGACAAGGAATGTCAAAATTTGTGTTTAAGTGGCAAGTCCCCCTTTTTTTTTTAAAACAACGCTATGAAAGAGCAAGGCAAACAACCCCTTAATAGATTAAATCTATGTTATCCAGAGTTTTCTGTCTGTGGTGGTGAATTTCTCAACTCTCATTGGACAAGCTGGCATTTCTAAAGTCAAGTAATTACCAGTCATATTAATCTGCACATTTTCTCTCTTTTTCTAAGCCAAATTGAATAAAAAACAAGTTTCTTTTTTTCTCCAGAAATAATTTAACCACGTGAGGCTGTTCTCACATACTTCCTAGAGAGATTCATCTGCAGAGTTAGCTGCAGGTTTTCAACCCTGTCTGTTTCTACTAAACCATTCTGTGGTCCCTCTACCAATAAATGAATATTTGAGTGTATTTAATCTGCATTGCCCTTGCAATTCAAGAAACATTCTTTTTAAAAGTGAAGTATAATCGACTTAAAATATCATATTAGTTTTTTTATATTTTTCAGGTATAAAATATATGTGGTTCAATATTTTTATACATTACAAAATGATCACCATAAATTTAGTTACTGGGCTTCCCAGGTGACTTAAGTGGTAAAGAATCTGCCTCCAATGCAGGAGACCCAGGTTCGATCCCTGGGTTGAGAAGATACCCTGGAGAAGGGAATGGCTGCCAACTCAGGTATTCTTGCCTGGGGAATTCCATGAACAGAGGAGCCTAGCGGGTTATAGTCCATGACATCGCAAAGAGTCAGACACGACTGAGCAACTCACACTTTTCAAGTTTAGTTGCTATCTAGCATCATACAAAGTTACTACAATATTATTGACTATATTCCCTGTGCAGTACATTACATCCTTGTTACATGTTTATTTTATAACTGGAAGTTTGTTCCTCTTAATCTCCCTCATCTGTTTCACGCCTCTGTTTTTATGTGTGTGTGTGTGTATGTGTGTGTGTGTGTGTGTGTGTATTTGTATTATTTTTTAGATTCCACATATAAGTGAGATCGTATATTTGTCTTTCTCTGTCTGACTTACTTCACTCAGTATTATAATCTTTGCTGCTGCTTCTGCTGCTAAGTCGCTTCAGTTTTGTCCGACTCTGTGCGACCCCATAGACCTCAGCCCACCAGGCTCCCCCATTGCTGGGATTCTCCAGGCAAGAACACTGGAGTGGGTTGCCATTTCCTTCTCCAATGCATGGAAGTGAAAAGGGAAAGTGAAGTCGCTCAGTCGTGTCCGACTCTT